CATCCTAAACTTGGTTGATATTGAATGGTTTATGTAAAATATTCATCCTAAACTTGGTTGATATTGGATGGTTTATGTAAAATATTCATCCTGAACTTGGTTGATATTGGATGGTTTATGTAAAATATTCATCCTGAACTTGGTTGATATTGGATGGTTTATGTAAAATATTCATCCTGAACTTTGTTTATATTGAATGGTTTATGTAAAATATTCATCCTGAACTTTGTTGATATTGGATGGTTTCTGTAAAATATTCATCCTGAACTTTGTTTATATTGAAATGGTTTATGTAAAATATTCATCCTGAACTTTATTGATATTGGATGGTTTATGTAAGGCAGTCATCATAAATTTGGTGTAATAAGTTGATCACTGTATAATGTTGTGACAGTCTAATCTGGATTTTCTTCTTCTCCTCTTTTAGATTCATTTCACTTTGCTGTTTTTATAGTTAGCTTTTTTTAACACCAGAGTTGGAAGATAAAATTGTGAGTATTTTGTTTTGAGTGTTTTTGGGAAGTTGAGTGAATAAATGCATGTGGGATATATCACAGTTTGAATTATTAGTATAATTTTGATGGAAATAACCTTAACAGTGTTATGAAAGAAAAGAATTTTATGTTCTAGTTGATCAGTCTCTTAAGCCATCCAAACAGTGTTGCTAGTAATTAGCAGGGCAAATATGGTTTTAGGTTGTGTCAACAGAAATACTGAATACAAGTCTAAAAGGCTATAAAGTCATTGTATGGGTCATTGGTTAAGCCACATTTGGAATATTGTGTTCAGTCTTAGGCTTTTTACCTCAGAGAGAACATTAAATTGTTAAAAAAGGGTCAAAGGATGATACCTGGGATGGGAAGGTTATTATATGAGGATACGTTAAAATCTCTGAACTTGTTTTCTCTTGAAAATAGAAGAGTTAGAGGGGATCTGATTGACGTGTTTAAGATTGTAAAGGGAATTGATGGTGTTGATACACCATCTTTTATCATATTAACTAGTGATAATGGTAAGATTAAGGGACACAAATATAAAATTTGGTCATCTTCAGCTATATTTTTCTAACTGGGTAGTTGGCCTCTGGAATGGGTTGCTTTCAGATGTGGTGGATGAGCTTAATATGTGCTTAATGCTATCTTAAGTTACATACCATTAGAATTTTTTTAGTACCCTTAATATAGAGAGACTTGAATCCCTGAATTCTTAAAGTAGGAACACGAGAGCACACTATCTACACACTTGTTACACATTCTTGCAGTTGTTAGACAACATTTTTGAACTTTTAAATAATCTCATTACAGATACCATTTTTTAAGCTGTAAGGTCATATAAAAAATGCTGTGCTAAGCAAAGAAACTTGTGACTATAAATCTTAATAGTACTGAAACTGGAACTGTAAAAAATTTGTAAAAAGGTTTCAGTAAAACAAAGTTTTTGTTGTCAGCAAGATTTTTGTGTTGAATACAGGATTTTGATCACTGTCATCTAAATCACAGATTATTACCTTATGTACAGGGTTTTGATTATCACCATTCTAAACACGGGGGTTTTGTTCCAACTTAAGTACAGGGTTTTGAACATCATCTTATGTACAGGGATTTGATCATTACCATCATATATACAGGGTTTTGACCATTCTTGTCTTGTCTTCCTTGTAGAATCTGTAAATGAAATGAGGTGAAAAGGTATTAAAGGTGTTTCAGGAAATGTGGTATCTTATTTTGTCTCAAACATTATTCTAAAACATGTAATCATATTTTCGGGCAAAAAGAGAGTGTCACTCATAAAATTACTGTTGCTTTATTTTGAGTTATTATAATTAACTGAAGATCACATGAAACAAAAATTATTTGAACTGCATCTTTTCTTATTGGATCAGTTTATCTACTGCTGACAAGTCTCTTGCTCATTATCAGAGCTCATTACATTTTATAATGCAACAGGAAAATATTAAATAAAAATTTCAATCTCAATGAAATTAAGTATTGCAAGTGAGATGTTTTACACTCAGAGTTCATCTAGAGTTTTAGTAGACTCTTACAATACTCTCAGGATAAAGAGGCCATCTCATCAGTGATATACAACATAAAAGTCTGAGTAAAACTATTTCATGATAAGAAAGGTTCTAGTTCTTTCCAGCAAGTGAAGGACTTTATCATATATCTTTTCTAAGACACCCTGTCTCATAGTAGAGTCTTGTATGTTGTTATGTTATAAGTTCTTATACTATTCTGTAAAGAGAACTTTACTGTGAAGAGGATATTAGGTTCTTCTAATTCATAAGAGTTTGAAGTATGTATGACTTCTAGCTATATTTATAATAAAGCCACTATTTTCATATTTTTAAACGACTAGGTTATCTTAGCTTTTTCTGTGAACCTTCTAGGCCAGGTTCCCAACCCTAATCATCACTTATTTATTCCTAGGTAAAGATTCTGGACCTCTGTCAAGTAAACAAGAGGATCCAGCAGCAGAGGAACGTATTGCACAAATTTTAAATGAAGCTCAAACTGCCATGCTTAATTCTAACAGCAACAATAACAAGATGATCCCACTACATAATGGAAGCTCAGGATACTCCCCACAGAATGGCAATGCACCTAGATCAGAGGAAGAAGGGAGGGGAGATGAAGGAGGTGGCATCGAAGGAGGAGGTGGGAAAAGTCAAACATTACACAGTAATAATAATTATAAAGATTATTTCCAGTCTGGCAGTATGCGACGATCTAGAAAGTATGATAATGATGACATACCACAGGAGATGGTAGCAAAGATCTACCAAGAGGAATTGGCTAAACTTATGGGACAGAGAGTAGAGGAAGGTTTCCGTTTACCCAGAGACCAGTACGAACGAACGCAAGAAGAGATTAGACATGCCCTTAACATCTATCACCAGGAACTTTCTCAGCTCTCTCATCTTGGTGTAACTACAGCCTTAATAAATGGTACTGCCTCTTCTTTCATCCCTCATGCCATCAGCATGGCTAGTAGTCTGCCTCATATGGAAGTACCTATTGATGCCACAGTACAGTCACGTAGTAGACAGAATGATAAAAAAAACAACAGCAGTTTGGATGTGGATAGTGTACGTCATCATGGGAGTGCCTTCTCTTTGGTGACGCCAAAAACAGAGGCAAGAAACAGTCCTGTTAAAGTAGCAGTATCACATCAACACACCTCTTTTCCTCCAACGTCTGCAGTGTCTCTCACTGAAATATCCAGTGATGATATTTCCATCTCAGCATCTCCTTTGCAGCAGATGCAGTCTATTACAAACTCATTACTCTCTCAGTCAACTATGACCAACACCTCCAGTACACTACAGAGGCCCACAAAAGCAATTCTTCCACCCATAACTCAACAGCAGTTTGATCAGTATAATAATCTGAATACTGAAGATATTGTGAAAAATGTGAGTTTTGTTTTGGCTTAGAAATAATTTATTACATGTTAAGGTCCCCAAAATTAAGTATCTTAATGTCTTTGTTATAAAAAATTTTAAAAGAAGAAATAAGATTGCAATAGTGAGAGAACAATTCTTTTCGGATTCACCACATAATTTTCAGATGAAGAAGCAACTAGATTGGTATTTGGTTATATGAAAGTGTCTTTAATTCTTTATTGACAATAGTATTCAGGTATAGGAGCAGCTAGGTCAGTATTTGATTACTTAGAACATGTTCTTCAGGTATAGGAGCAGCTAGGTCAGTATTTGATTAGTTAGAACATGTTCTTCAGGTATAGGAGCAGCTAGGTCAGTATTTGATGAGTTGGAACATGTTCTTCAGGTAAAGGAGCAGCTAGGTCAGTATTTGATTAGTTAGAACATGTTCTTCAGGTATAGGAGCAGCTAGATCAGTATTTGATTATTCAGAACACGTTCTTCAGGTAAAGGAGCAGCTAGGCCAGTATTTGATGAGTTGGAACATGTTCTTCAGGTATAGGAGCAGCTAGGTCAGTATTTGATTAGTTAGAACATGTTCTTCAATTATAGGAGCAGCTAGGTCAGTATTTGATTATTCAGAACACGTTCTTCAGGTAAAGGAGCAGCTAGGCCAGTATTTGATGAGTTGGAACATGTTCTTCAGGTATAGGAGCAGCTAGGTCAGTATTTGATTAGTTAGAACATGTTCTTCAGGTATAGGAGCAGCTAGGTCAGTATTTGATGAGTTGGAACATGTTCTTCAAGTAAAGGAGCAGCTAGGTCAGTATTTGATAAGTCAGAACATGTTCTTCAGGTAAAGGAGCAGCTAGGTCAGTATTTGATGATTGGAACATTCTTCAGGTAAAGGAACAGCTAGGTCAGTATTTGATGAGTTGGAACATGTTCTTCAGGTAAAAGCTCCTATACCTGAAGAACATCAAATACTGACCTAGCTAGTTGGAACATGTTCTTCAGGTATAGAGAAGCTAGGTCAGTATTTGATTATTCAGAACACGTTCTTCAGGTAAAGGAGCAGCTAGGTCAGTATTTGATGAGTTGGAACATGTTCTTCAGGTAAAGGAGCAGCTAGTTCAGTATTTGATTACTTAGAACACGTTCTTCAAGTAAAGGAGAAGCTAAGTCAGTATTTGATGAGTTGGAACATGTTCTTCAGGTAAAGGAGAAATACTGACCTAGCTGTTTACCTGAAGAACATGTTCCAACTCATCAAATACTGACCTAGCTGTTCCTTTACCTGAAGAATGTTCCAATCATCAAATACTGACCTAGCTGCTCCTTTACCTGAAGAACATGTTCTGACTTATCAAATACTGACCTAGCTGCTCCTTTACTTGAAGAACATGTTCCAACTCATCTTCAGAACACGTTCTTCAGGTAAAGGAGCAGCTAGGTCAGTATTTGATAAGTCAGAACATGTTCTTCAGGTATAGGAGCAGCTAGGTCTGTATTTGATAAGTCAGAACATGTTCTTCAAGTAAAGGAGCAGTTTGGTCAGTATTTGATAAGTTTGCCCCTGAAGAAGAAAGGTCCACCTTTTGAAAGTGTTAGGGTTATAGGGTTTTTATTCATTTCTGATAAGTCAGATCATGTCCTAATTCCTCCTTGATAATAGTTATCTGGTAAAGAAGCTACTGAGTCAGTATTTGATAAGTAAGAAAGTGTTTTTAGCTAAAGAAGTAATTATTAAATAGTTGATAAGTCAGATGGAGTCCTAATTACTTTTTGACAATTGTTTTCAGGTAAAGGAGCAACTCAGTCAGTATTCAATAAGTCAGAGATTATTTGGAGAAAATGTTCTGGGACTGTCACAAGGTTCAGTTTCTGATCTGCTGGCAAGACCTAAACCCTGGCACATGCTTACACAGAAGGGCCGAGAGCCATTTATCCGAATGAAAGTGTTCTTGGAAGATGAAAATGCAATTCACAAACTGGTAGCTTCCCAGTACAAAATACCTCCAGAAAAGTTATTACGTACAGGGGGTTTTGGAGGCTCCAGGAACTCCCCTGGTAAGAGTGTAAACTTTACTTGTTTATCTAGTTTTCTTTTTTTAATACTAAACTTAAAATTGTCCATAAGCAAATGTTGAAAATGTTTCTTTGTAAAATTGTAATTCATTTTTTATCATGTTATCCAAAAGGAAAGCCCCCCAGTGGCACAGCGGTATGTCTGTGGACTTACAACGCTAGAATCCGGGTTTCGATACCTGTGGTGGGCAGAGCACAGATAGCCCATTGTGTAGCTTTGTGCTTAATTTAAAAAAAAACCAAAGAAAAATTAGTCTGCAACTTAAGAACTAACTAACCTACTAACTACTGATGTATCTCTTATGCCACTTGTTAACTTTGAAATTTTTACCTAGATTATTTTACATTTATGAAAGATAAATTTTTGAAAACCTATACAAATTGGTCTATAATCAGGAAGCAGCACAGAATGTCACATATTTGATAGAGAGGTGTCTGGAAATCATGTTAACATGTTTATTATAATTTATTTCTGAATTTTTGAAACTTCTGAAAGATCCATTTTGTTCTGCAGTGCACATTCATTGGTCTAGTCACAGGCAGCAGAACTGGGGTGGCACTGGGGACATATACTCCTATTTTTTTTGCAAAGTAGTAAGGTTTAGATAAACCACATTTACACTCCAGATGTAAATATATTTGTTTTTTTATTACTACCAACGTTTTGCTTTTACAGCTTCTTCAGGATTAATACATACAAACTGTTTGATAATGAAGTATACGTTAATTTATAAAATTGATTGTGATGTGCGACAGACTCGACAAATATAAATACAAATATATTTACATCTGGAGTGCAAAGGTCGTTTATCCAAACTTTTATCACATCCCCCCACTATGCACTACAAACTTTGGAAGTAGTAAAGTGACTTTCTTCAATAGATCAAAAACTATAACATTAAAAATATTATAAAGTTGGTAAAACGGCGTGTACAGCCTGAAAATGTAAGGCAGGTTGTAACCAGTCAGCACTCTTACTGACTGGATTTAAATTGGCATTTCTTATTTACAAATCAGATTCAAAGTGCTCCTACCACCTACTAGAATTTTAACAACCATCACAGCAGTGGTTCAGAGATTCTCTGAAACATAAGTAAACAATGTTAACATAAATTCCACACATTGTATACATACCACAATTACAATTTTACAAAGAAATTTTAAAATTATATGTATTCCACTTCTTGAGACTTGTTTTAACTAGAAATGAGAAAATGGCATAATATACTCAAGACTTTTATAAAAAAAAAAGGAACACTACATTTTGCTGGGTTAACTCAGCATTTTCAGTTGTAAAGGTGAAATGTCGCATCCAAGATAAAATATAGTATTTGTGATCTACAATATAGGTCAGATAGTAAAATAAATTCTTTCACCTTTACATTTGAAAATTCTGAAATAACTCAGTGAAATATTATGTCATTTAATGATTTGTAGTTAAAGTTTAAAGTCCTTGGTAAAGTATAAATCTTTCTTTTTTTTTCAAGCACAAAGCTACACAATGTGCTATCAGTGCTGTATCCACCACAGGTATCGAAGCTCAGTTTTTGGCATCATACACCTTCAGACTTACTGCTGAGCCACTGGGGTGGGGGCAAATCCATTTAGAAATTTGTACATTTTTATATTTTCAATGACAGCATTCAGTTTCAAAATAACAAAAACAGATATAGAAATTCATCAATACAGAACAGTCTTTTTAATTTTGTTGCATTTTTCCTTGACCATAAGAACTTTTTGTATTGAACATTTTTATTTCAGCAGGCTCTCTAAAAATGTCTCATTGGTCTACAGAATCAGTAAAATCACATCCTAACCCTTTTGATAGAAGCCATATCTCTCTAGACAATAACTTTTCTCCATCCACAGATTTGCAGGAGTCTTCCCCTTCTACTCCAGAATATTTACCAAGTATTTCTAACGTGGCCAGCAACTCATCCAATAATATTTCAGCAACTCAGAATGTGCCAGGTAGCTCCAAGAAACACTGCCAGAATCCACAGTCCTTGTCATACTTGCACTCTTCTGTGTATGAAATAGCTGCACTAACCACTGACTTGGACACACAGAACATCACATCCAAGATAAAAGATACACTTATGGCCCAAAACATAGGTCAGAAGGTGAGATGTTGATGTGTTTTGTATCATTTAATACGAGTAGTAGAAATCCAGTTGTGATGACTTCCCGTTACTTTAAAATTAATTATTTAGACAGTGTTTGTATCTTTAATTCTGTTGATGATAGCATTTCAGTAAGTGTGTCCTGGCATAATATTATTTCCAGAAATTACCTGGCCACAACAGAATGGAATGAAATTTCCTGGAGAGCTTTAAGTTTTTGTTTAGGGTAATTGTGTCATTTTTTCTGAATATGTAAATCCTAACTGTATAAAACATGTTTAGATTTTTCTTCTTAGTATGTATTTTAGGATTGTTTTTTTATTGAATCTAAAGTGTATTTCAGGAATGAGATGATTCATTTTATTGTTATTGTGGTTCACTACATAGCATTTTGTACATCTAAATCTGCCAAGGTTGACATTTCAGGAGAAAAGTCGACAATATTGAAAAAAAGGAAAATTAAAGTTCATTAACTTATTATATACATATCTAAACCTATTTAGGTTTATATGTCAGAGAAAAGCTCATTAATATTGAAAAAAGGAAGAGAAACTTAGAGATAATTAACTCATCATATATATTTAAGCTTACTTAGGTTTTGTATTTCATAAAGAAAGGTTAATAATATTTAAAAAAGGAAAAGAAATATTAAAGTTGATTAACTTATTATATACATATCTAAGCCTACTTAGGTTTATAGTCAGGTTTATATATCTATATTTAAGTCTGTTTACAGACTTTAGAAAAAAAGGAAAAAATAATTAAAGCTTAATAATTAAATAATTAACACTCGTGTGTGTGTACATATATACATACACATACAAGGAATCAAATATATTTTGCTCCAAGAAGTAATTAATAAAAATTAAAAAATATAAATACATCATTTAAAATATTTTAATAACTCAATATTACTGTTAATTTAAAACAAATAAATAAAAACATACATATATAAAAGCATAAATACTGGTTTCGTATCTTACACAATACTCTTCAGTTTTTAAAGTAAGGCTCTTTTTAACAAGACCCACTTAACAATGTAAAATTCCTGTATTTTTTTACCTTAAAGTTTTATATAAGTTTTAAACTCCATCTGTGTGTTAAACTATATAACATTTAATGCGGTTTTAAATTTATTAATAAAATAATTTCCTACCAGCTGCAACCCACAAAACATTTGTGGTAGTTTTCATGCCATTTGCTTGAATATTCATAATTCTATCATTTTCATGCATAGTATTTAAGCTATGCTTTCTTGCAGGCATCATGTGTTAGATTTATAAATCCTGGTCTATTTTTAAAAAATTTGCATGGTCAGACAACCAAATTCATGTTGACTTAACTTTATTTAATAAACCTACACAAGAAGTAAACAATAAAGTTTAGTAATGATATTTATAATAGTGTACAGAGTATGAAACAGTTATGAGCATTCTGTTTATGACACAGGTTTACAAGTTGAGACAAAGAAACTCACAAAAACAAAGAATAAGACCCATAGTAAAGAATAAAGTACCTAAAAGGTGTTTATAGCAGTCTATGAAATGAACTGAAGTTAAATTATTGCAAATTAAAGTAAATGTAAAGTTGTAATGAAGACAAACTTAGCTGAATATGCAGAAACATCTGAATGTGTGTTCACAAAATGATAAGTATATGGTTTTGAATGAACTGAGCATGTGTATTTTAGACCTAAATAAATCGAGAAAACCCATAGCAATTGTATTCAGTGTAATGTTAATTTTTGGGGGGAAATTACATGCTGGTTAAGTGTTATATGTGTGAATACTTTTCAAATAAAAAAAAAAGTTGAACTCGAAACCAGTCGTAACATAATGACAACAACATTGTGCGATTTTGTAGCATACTCGTTACATTAAAAGTTTGACTAAGTAAAAAAACAGGTAAGGTAAATCTGAATGTAAAAGCCAATAAGCAATCCAGACTCTTCAGACAAGAGATATAAGGTTTGTAGCATTTGATCCAGAAATTTGTGAGAAAATTTCCAAACAGTCAAACACAAGCATATTAATTATATAGGTTATTTTCACGAAAATACCAAAATCAAAATATATCAAAATTTTTCATAATACCCTTATTAATGTGTTTGTTAACGGGTAATATGCTGTTATTTGAATTTTTGACTTGAGATTTATTAAATTTATTCTTAAATGTAAGTTTTCTGTTTCTCCAACATTTGCTTACAACAAATACAAAATAATATATAAATAACATTATGTGAATTACAACTAAATCTAGATTTTGTGAAAAATATTTTCTTCCAGCAGGGCCTGTAATATGTAAGATAATCTTTCTCACAAATATAACAATATCTTCATCACATTTCTATACTTTATTTCTCTGTTTTTAGATAGCATATAAACTTTGGGTTTGTGTTTGGGATAAAATGATTTGTTTATTTTCAGACGTAGCTTGTTGGATATCATTAATATCAGTTTTAATTCGAGGGTGATATGTTATTATGGGTGGAAAAAACAAGTTGATTGGACCATTGACCAAATCCTAAAACCATTTATATCTAAAATACTAAGTTATATTAGAGATTTTATTAATTAACACATTTTATTAATCACTTACCAGAGAAAATTGAAAAGAAATATTATTTTAATATCATTAGATGTTGTTTCTCTATCCAAGTATCAAATATAAATATGGTATAAAAGTTATTGAATATTACTTATAAAGATACCCATGTTTATTACATCCATGTTTAAATAAAGAATTGATAATTAAAGGTTTAAACCTTATTTTAGGTAATTTTTATTTTGTTTATAAAGGCAATATTGTAACATTGAAAAATGTCATACTTTACAAGAATCCTTTTTTGTTGTTTAAGACTTATAAAATAGGTAAATTAATATGTAGAATTATAAACTGACTTTTCTCTCTACATTAAAATACTTTTATTGCGAGCTTTCGGTCCTCTTACTGTAGCCTTCATTGGGAAACAATGCATACAATAAAAGTATTTTAATGTAGAAAAAAGTCTGTTTAAATTCTACATACAAGCTTTTTTTTCTTCAAATATTTCCATTTTGTTATTCTTGAAAAAAGAATAAGAGATTATTTTATGAAAATTATTTTATTAATAAGCTTAAAACCACATTAAATGCTACATAGTTTAAAACACAGAAGGAAACATAAAAGCCAATAAGCAATCCAGACTTTTCAGACAAGAGATATGAGGTTTGTAGCATTTGATCGAGAAATTTGTGAGAAAATTTTCAAACAGTCAAACACAAGCATATTAATTATAATTAATTAAGGTAAAAAAACACGGGAACTTTTACATTGCTCACTAAGTCTTGTTTGAGAAAGCCTTATTTCAGAAACTGAAGAGTATCCTGGAAGATATGAAACTGGTATTTATGCTTTTATATGTGTATATTTTTATTTATTTGTTTTAAGTTTATGGTAATAAAGAGTTTTAAAAATATTTTAAAATACTATTTTTCATAGATATATATATATATATATATATATCTGTTTATGTTAATGTTTCAGAAAGAAAAGTCACTAATATTTAAAAATAAGAAAAATTAGAAATGGTTAAATCATTAAATATCCAAGACTGTTCAGGTTGATATTTCACAAAAAAAGGTAAAATATACTGAAGAAAGTAAAAGTTGGTTAACTCACTGTTATTATATTATATTAATATAATATAATATATTATATTATTATTTGTCATTATATTCTTTAATCTTTCTTTATTTCAGATTTTTGGTGAGGTGGTGCTTGGTCTGTCTCAAGGGTCTGTTAGTGAGTTGTTATCAAAACCAAAACCATGGCACATGCTCAGTATTAAAGGTAGAGAGCCTTTCATCCGTATGCAGTTGTGGTTAAATGACCCACAAAATGTAGAAAAATTGCAAACATTTAAAACTCAAAGAAGGGAAGGTGAGACAAGTTTTTCAGTCGAATACAATTAACCAATCACAAATTACTCTAGTTTAGTAGTCCTGCTGCTTGAATTAATCGTGTAATATTCTGATAAAATGTACCCTACAAAATAAGTTTAATAGTTTCTTTTACAAGAGTGTCATTTGATCTGGTAAAGGGTCTGTAATAATTCAATGAAGACTTAAAATAAACGTTAGTATTAAGATTTAATCCAAAACCTTTTGTTTCACCAAATATGTGATGAAACATTTACCAATGAGTTTTTATATTTGTTTCTAAGTGTCCAAATATGGATTGACATGAATAGTGTTATTGTTTGACAGCAGATTCATTTGCATTCTAAATTTTTAAAGTACTCTTTTAAAAGAAAACACTGTGGTTGTTACTTTCATTTTCTGTTGTTGTATCTTTAGCTCTTTATATTTTGAGTTATATAATGAGTTTGAGTGTTTGTAATTTACATTTTTCAGCAAATAAGCGAAAAAGAAACAACATAGATGACATGGAGTTCTGCCACTGGTACAACTATGGTTTCTCTTCTTCACCATACTTGTCAACTAAAAAACCACGAATCTTGTTCTCCGAGGAGCAAAAAGAAGCACTACGTTTAGCATTCTCTATGGATCCTTATCCAAGTACAGCAACAATTGAATTTTTAGCCAATGAGCTCAACTTATCAGTCCGAACAATAACCAACTGGTTTCATAACCATCGCATGCGACTTAAGCAACAGCCTATGATTTCTCATGATGACCACAAGTCTAATTACAGTGGAGCACGTGTAGTATCTCCTTTGTCCAATATTAAGGATACGACAAGTTTTGATCCTGTGCAGTTTAGAATGATGCTGAACAGTCGACTTTCAGAACTAAATCGAGACAAAGGTAGTGGAATTGTCCAGAAAATGTGCTCTACTTATAGGAATAATTCACCACTCTCCGCCCACAATGATGATTCTGGTACTTTAGACTTGAGCATGTCTAGTCAACATTTCCTACAAAGAAGTAACAATCTATTTGGATTTCAGTGTTCTTCAGAAACTGCAAGTGCCGGAACAGATGAGCACTCAAACAGTGAACTAAATGAAGACTCTAGCTATTCCTTAGATAGAGGCTTGTCAGAAAGTAGTGACAAAGAGTCTCTCGAAGAACAGCCACTGTCTCTGTCTGCATACAACATAATTCATGGGCAAGAAAGCTTTAAACAAATGACAATAGTGCCATCTAGTAGCAGTAACAGGAGAAAATCTGCAATGCCACAATGGGTGGACCCAGGGCTGAAAATGTCTCCTGATAGTGACCTATGCAGTGAGAATGAAGACAATGATGAAGAAAAAACAGAAAATAAGAAATATGAGGAGATAATAAATGGAGTCTGTGTTCTTCAAACTGGAAAACTTGGTCTTCCTGTGCCTAAGGAGCATACAGTGCGGATTGAGCCAACTCCAGCTCCTGATAGCCAGGTTTTAAACTATGGGAACAAAGAACAGGCTTCTGAAAAAGATAAAGAAATAGATTCTTCCAAACAAGAAAAAGAAAAGTTTCAAGAAAACATTAAAACTGATAGAAAACATAACATTGAGAGGCTCGAGAGATGTTTAAAAGACAAAGTAGTAAGCTGGGATGCTGATGACGAAGGAGAGAGAGAGGAAAACAAAAATAGTGGTACAGCTAAAGCCAAAGATGATCAGAAATAGAAGAATGATTTATTTATATTCAAATAGAAAGAGTAACAGAGAAAGTCTTTAATGAAAACAAAGAAAAAAATATATATTGCAGACTGACTTGATATGCATTCCTCAATCCAGACTTTTGATTGTGTTTCACATTTTACATAACTTGGCTTTTGAGTGGCCTTAAAAGATATCAACCCTAAACTAATGAACTTTAGGTTTAGTTAGATGAGTGAACTAGGGTTAATGTAAAGAGTGAGGGCAATTCCAAAGGACATGCAAATACAATGTGATAATGCCTTTACAGCCTTCTTGTTGTAGCCTAAGGCCAAGAAGGCTGCTAGCTAGTGTGTAATATATACTAAGTGGTACCCTAGAGATGAGTCTTTATTTGTTGTTGTTCAACCGAGTGAAAGAAACATGTTTCTTGTTTGTGCAGATCATTTTTAAAAATTATACTCTTTGTGATTTCCATACATTTCAAATCCTTTTTTGCTCCCACCTGATAATGTATTTTACTGTACATAACTCTGATGATATATGCATGTACGTGTTTTCTAGTTTTTTTTACTCTAGAATAAGTAGATATAGTAGTCTACCATCAGCTTATTCTTATGTTGGAGTCATCCATATTAGTTTACCGACTTCTCTGTTTGTAATTAAATATATATGCAAGTGTTATTTATCATTCTGAGGATGCCTTTTTAAAGAGATTTGTGGCTTACATTATCTTGTATTAATCAGGATTTGGAGCAGGATGACATCTTGAATGCTTGTAAAGCAAAATTATTGTTTCCTGCTCTTTGTTATTCTAGTCCAGAAGTACTTCTCAAGTGTGAGCCACTAGTTATGCATTATATCAACATTCTTCTCAAGTTTGTACAAATATTTGAATTCTAGCCACCATTTGAAAAGTGTTGTCTTGAGTATTGACAGGACCGTGAAGTTTTTTTATTTGCATGACAAAAAACTTTTCTTCATTGTAGTCGCTTACTCTTTTTATTTGCAAAGTTTTGCCATATATATGAAACTACGTACTTAGTAAGAAACTACATGAAACTACGTAAGATTGATGAAATACAATGTTGTTATTGTTGTACAGGATAGAACCAAACTGTTACAAATTTTGTTTAAAACATATTTTTTATTCGTGATTTACAGGAAAAATGTAATTAATTTAGAGACGAGTCTTCACGTAGTTTTGACCATAGAATAAGGAAAAAATTAAGTAAAAAGTCATAAACGATATCTATTATCCAAAAATTTTAAGAATTTATGAAATATATAGCCTAAAAGGCAAAATGAGAAAAATGAAAGAAGACTGACAGGGTAAAACTTAAGTTCAATGTGAGGGTTATTAATGATAATTTGAGAAGATCCTTTATATGGATTAAATTTGGTGATGTTTCTGATATGTATGTCTATATGTATAAAGATAAGGCAGTATCAGATATGCATAAAAAGGATTAATAGTCCTCATTTTGTAACCCCTTTTGTTTATCTCATTCATACGAACAGTGGTGATTGATAGGTGAGACACATATTACACTAAAATTATTGTACATCCCACCATGCAACTTCTTGGCTCTGTAGAGCCTGTTTCTCACTTCCTCATTAGGCAGTTTATATCTTGCCTAATCAAGCTCTTCTGTTGACATGACATTCTTTTTTATTATACAAAAGTAATATGTCATGATTGAAGCTTTAGTAGAAATTAATGTTTTATTACACTTTCACAGATTGATGCAACTAAATTTGAGTTAAAAAAATGTTGAATTTGAGTGTTTAGATTAAAGGACATGGAAGTTTGACATGACAAACCACCACTGCATGTAAGTGTGTTGGCTGGTGTTTTTCAAGTTGAACTATAATTGCCAGATTAAAGAGCAGCAACTTTTTATCTGAATCTATAAAGATGACCTATTTACATTAAGTAAGGTAGTGCTGGACTATTATCTTTTCGGTTGAATTTCTTTTACATAAACATACAGAAAACTGAAATGAATTCTCATACTTTAGACTTGTATCAATTTTTCCAGTTAGCATGTGATATTGATATATTTACTGTTGAAGCCCTGCATAGTGGTGATTGTGGCCATTTTGTTCTTAGCACAGTGGTTCTTAAATAAATAATTCCCACTATTATCATTACTGGAAATCTTGAAAATATAATAATTTTACCAACACAACCACTTGACATGCAACTTCTGTTTTTGTGTGCATCATGTATAAAAAACTGTTTTTAATGTTTTGAAAAGAAGAATGGAATATTCATACTGAAATGGAGCCAGTTACTGCTCTAGACACATAAGAATATAACATAGACAACTTCAAATAGGTTTTTCTCATGTGTTTTATTCTGATACGATATCTTACTCCTTCTCACAAAAAACTTTCTCGATTAGTACTGTGCTCTATCAATGCAGATTTTTCGCTTGCCATTAGCCTTATAACTCCCACTTCTTTCTGCATATCTATATGCATATGATCATGCAGCAACCCTCCACCAACAGGAGTGCAACAGTACCCTTATTCTAACTAGCACCATTTCTATTGATGCACTTGTTAATCACTTCTTAATTAGCAGTCTTACTGTTAAGATGTGTTTGTCTTTGCTCATGATTTTCGTTATATTTTCTTCTAGTACATTTGTTTTTCTCTTGATACTTTTTGTTCAATTTGTTTGAGTTTATACTTTGTAGGTATGCACTCACAGTTTTAAGTAGTTACAACTGCTACTGCACCTATGGATTTCCCGACCACGCCTTCAGGGTCAGTCCCAGAGTTATTGACCAAAGATGTGACTACTACGATCCATAGAGAATTGTCTCATTTCATGCAACATTCACCTCCACCTGAGGACTATCCTGTCATAACCGCACCTGGTGTGTCCGATAGTGAGGATGAGAATTTTGACAGCCTTCCCCCCCCTCCTGAATATGCTTCTCAGTCATACTTAACTCTCCACTGGGTTTTCCTTCCAGGTCTTTGGATGACAAAGATCGATGAGTCAGAGGCATATCTCCATATTCCCATCTCCCCGACATTCCAACATTTCCTTCATTTTGTTCATCATGGGTGTGTTTTTCAGTTTTGGAGGATTCTGTTTGACCTGGCCTCAGCTCCCTGGATGTTCTGCTGAGTTCGCCAATCATTTGCTTGACTGCTTCATTTTCAGAACCTTTTTTTTTCCCACCATTACATAGATGTCTGGCTCCTGCTGGCATCCTCATGGGCTTATGCCCTCCATACTCCTTTTCTTCTTTGGTAAGCTGCCAGAGTCACTTGGCTGTTCAAAAAGGAGAAGTCATTCCTCACAGCTACCCAGTTTGTGGTTCATCTTGGTGTTGTTTTCAATTCATTTCTCAGTCGAGCTCAGTATTCTCCCCTTCTGTTGGAGATATGAAATGTTTTGTTTGCAAAGTCTCCTCCTCACCCTCTCCTACTGCACAGGAGGTTTTCTCTCTTTTGGAGAGGTGAGCTTCTCTCAAAACAAGTCCTCATTCCACATGCACCATCTTGAACAGGCTTTAATCGACCAATGGAGCGTTGTTCAGTATCCCTTGGATGCTCCTTTTACACTTCTCTCTCCATTACTGACAGTCTTTGCATATTAGCTGGATCAGACCAATACCACTGCAAAGGTTCCTCTTGCTTCACCTCATCTGGATTGTCACCTTTTTACTGATGCTTCATTTTCCAGTTGGGGAGCGTATCTCAACTGTCAGGAGATTTCTGGATGGTGGACTCTACCCAAATCCACTCTCCATATCAATATTTTGGAGCTTCTTACTGTTCAACAAGCTGTATTTTGCTTCCTGCTGTCTCTTTGCAAACAGGTGGTGACGATCCCCTCAGTCAATTCAGTGGTGGTGTCCTATAGCACCAGGCAAAGAGGTACTGGTTGAGGGACCTTTGTTTTCGAATTTTGGATCTTCTTTATTGGGCCCACAGCCATCAAATTACTTTGCTGGTGTGTCATATTTTGGATGCCCAGAATCTGGTCACGAATCAGTTATCCCAACCTGACAAAATTCAACCGACAGAGTGGTAGTTGGATCCTAGTGTTTTTGGGGGTTGTATGCTGATTGGGGTGTCCCCGATTTGGATGCAATTGCGTTTCGTCTCAACTCGCATCTTTCCCATTTATGGTTGCCTGTTTTTCATCTGCAGGTGGATGTAGTGGATGTTCTCAGCCAGAATTGGGCTGATTGTTCCCTATATGCTTATCCTTATACACAGCTTCTTTCTCGTATTCTTTTAATAGTTCTGACCACTCCTTGTCGAGTTCTGTTGGTAGCACCATATTGGACAACTCAGACATGGTTTCCACTTCTACAACAGCTGTTGGTGTCACCACCTAGTCCTCTCACATTGTCTCTCATGCTCCATTGTCAGCATTGCTTTGGCGTGTATCATCCTTCCATACCTGTACTCAATCTTCATGTATAGCTTTTGTCCAGTCACTCACCAGATGGTTCGAACTTTCCATATGTGTTGCCTCCTCAATTTCCTATCCAGTTCCACTCATCATAATTGGTGGTTTATCAGTGTAAGTGGGCAACTTACTGCTTTTGGTCTGTATGCCGGGGTTACCATCCTTCTTTACCTGCCATTCCTCACTTATCATCCTTTTTCACTTGGCTTTATGACAGATGCCTATCAGTTTCTTTTGCTTGGTTTACAGGGTTACTTTGTCTTTTACCTTTCAGTTTACTGAAGATGCTTCTGTGTTCCACTCTCTTATCCATTTTTGTTATTTTGTTCATTCTCAATTGCTTGTCCTCCCCATCTTGCTTCTTTCCTGGATTGAAACCTCATCCCCATTTTACTTCTCTCCTGGATTGAAACCTATGTGTTGTCCTTTATGATCTTATTAGTCCTCTATTCGAACCCTTGCAGTCTTGCTCATTATGTCACCTTGCATTCAAGTCCTTGTTTCTGTTGTTGTTGGTGTGTGATCCCTGTTGTTCTGATGTTTTTATGACCATT